CATAGACCAAGCAACCAGTTAGAAGGCGTGGAGGAATACAATCCTAGGTATGTGGGGGGGGATTTCTCTGCTGTGCTCCAAAGAGGGCATTTCCCCCCCATTTTTACTGCTGTTTGAACTGAAATGGAACCATGCTTTGTACCTGCAGAACATCTTTTATACACATTTAACTTATTTTTCTTCCTAGGTATGTGACTGTGGGGCAGCACAGATCTTTTTCTGTATTTATACCTCATTTTCCATTTTCATTTGATCAGTTTATTTCTGACAAAGTACTGTTTTCATAACATAGAGAGAGGGAAATTAAAAACCAATTCATACATTTCATTATGTGCCTTCTACCCAGTTAGCTCTGAATTGCCACACACAATGTTCTTAAAGTTGCCCTTGTACTTTCTAAGAGACAAATGGTAAAGAGAAAATAACCAAAATTAGAAAGGCATTATTTCTGTCTTTGTAACTATCTAGGGGGAAAAGGATAGAATATGTTGAAATTATGAAGAAAATCTTAACTTGTATTGTTTTAGAACAGTAGATTTGCATGATCGCATTTTGTGTGATAAAGGCAATTTCTGATATAAATATTTCTCTTAGCTATTTTAACAGAAAGTTCTAAATTTAGAACAAAGAAAATACCATACATATATCTTTAAAAAATATATTTAAAAAAATCTATATGAAAAAATAGTACAGCCATCAGTTAAGCAATTCCTCAACCCTGAAAAGACTCTATCTTCCTTGTCACAAAGAAAACACAGCAGCCTTGACTTTCATGACTTGTTCATTTCCAAATGCCTTTGTCTAAGCCCTTTAGGATTATGCAAAGAACTCAAACCACTGACTCTAAGTACCACGAGTACATGGAATATGTAATCCACACTGATGTGAAGAGACGTGAAAAGGCATTCACTATGACTCCTTTAATAGAAAGATGGCTGCAGGAAATGTGGATCCAGACTCTTCCTCTGCCCTCATGCCACACCCACCTCTTTCTGGAACTACTTAGGAGAGCTGGCACTGCCAGGTAGGAATTTGCTAAGCAATGAAGTACATACTGCAGCAAACCTTTGCTCCTTTCCCAGTCCAACTGAGTAGGAAGGTTTTCCTTTGCATGAACCTCACATCTTATTGCACAGCTTTTCTCATTAGCATAGATGAGGTCTATGTGTCTTCAGAAAGGGTTTAAAAAATTTTTGGAATTATCCCAAATATCAACAAACTTAGGAAAACATTTATATCTGACATAGTTACCATTAGACAATTATACTCTGACTTTTTTGGCTTCATATAATATAACACTAAGCCTATTTGAAGCAGCTACACTGATGAAATAACCAATAGTCTTTCCCCCTCATCCTTAGCCTTCATGCCCCTTACCGTGACTCTGCTACTAGTCTCTTAGCTGATTTAGCTGCCTCTTGTCTCCTCCTACATTAGTCCATTTCTGGGATGCTCCCCAAATGATCTTTCTAATACATGACCTGATTACACCCTGCTTAAAGATTTTTGATGGCTCCCAGTGCTACAGAACAAAGCTGCAGTTATTCTGAGGCTTGCCATACAAGGCTGTGCACCATTGCCTTTCTTGTCTTATGCTCTTTCCCTTCCATACCTGATGCCTTTGCAGGATTCCAGCCTGGTGACCTTGCCGTCTATCAAGAGTCCCCTGACTCCGAGACTCTGCCAGGCTCTCCTACATATCACTGTAGCAGTGACCAGATTCTTTTATGGAACTGAGTGTTACTAGGGCTCTTGGTCATCTGAAGGGCATCATCATTGCTTAGCAAATTGCCTAGTATATGTGTTGAGTAAGTTAAACAAATTAACTGACTTACTTCCCATTTGGGCAGAGATTTCTTACTTCAAACCCATTAGTCCTACAGGCACGACTGGCTCCAAATGATTACCTTTATGTTTGAGGCCACATTCGGCTAGTCACATATTACTACAGAGAGGCACCATGGATGCATGTAAGTATACCAAAGCCAAAGATACACTGGATTCCTACTAAAGCTGGTTAGGTGAAATAAATTGATTTCTGATAGATGAATGCACAAATCACCTTCATAGAAATATGTTTTATTGCAGAGAAGTTATAATTATTTACATGCTGCAACACGTCACAACATAAATTTACCAAATATTTCATGGTGGGATGCTGTAGGTTTCAGATAATAGTTTCAGAAGGACCACAGTTTACAGGAAGAGACTTACAGCTTTATTGACTCTACAACTCTCAGTTACTAAATGCTAGAAGTCAAGAGGCAGTGTGTATTCAGTCCTACCTGTTATCACTTGCATGCAGAATCCTAGGAAGCAACACAAGAGAACTGTCGAGCTTCAAATCCATATTGCCACCAAAATCTACAAGGGGCTGAGTTAAAATTCATGTTATAAAGCATTTGATTCTTGCATAAAATATACAGTTCTATGAAGACTGGTATAAATCTACTTATTTATAAACCCTGGCTTACAAACAAGGACAGGAGCAGCCTGCACATGCATTGAGAAGGACAACCTAGCAAATGTTTGTAACGTTAAGAGTGTTCATTCACTTTCTTGTTATCATTCTGGGAATATAACCTCAAGAATTAAAGATTTAAACTTCGCCGCGTGATAAGTATGGCAACGAAGCTCTAGGAAGGACCCGAGGCACTCTGATTTATGCTGGTGGAGGAAAATCTATGCACTGTAGAATGTCATTAAGGTATAATTTGGCAAGTCTCTAAGCCACATCTCTAGCAGGATCATCCTGAAGTGCAATAAAAAGTCATTGAGGCTTGACTGCTTATTTCTCAGAAACTGAATAAAGTGCTAGCAGATTTCAGACATAAGTGAAACAAGTAGGTGGGTGTGGAAACTCCAAACCAAGTTCACAAATACACCTTAGAGTTGTACTCCAAAGCTACCAAACAGTTAGGCCTTGATGGAAGAGGAAGGGAAGAAGGAAGTAAATGAAGGAAACACAAAAAATAGAATTTATCTCTTCAAACCTACCCCACCAACCTGAGTAATGCAAAAAGCAAGCAAATGGGTGAGGAAGATTTATGCACAGCTTTGCAAAATGGTGAAGTGCTCGTTTACTCTGGAATAAAAATTGTGGAGAAAATTTTGATGATGAATAAGGAGAGGTCCTAGTTTTTACCTTCCACTGAGGATAATACTTCCTCAGAACAGCCCTGTAGCCACCTCTGATTCCCTTCCTCATCTTTATCTCCCTAGCATATTCTCCTTGCTGCTCATGAAATGAAAAATAGTTTTGTAGGCTGGAAATGTCCTGGCCAAATAGGCCATCGATACTTCAGTGTTTGACTTGAAAGGAAAGTCTGCATTCTATTTTTAATTGATTCATCTTTAAATAAAAGGAGACTGATCTTTAGGATGGACTCTCTTTGCATGATCACATCAGTAGGGCTAAATCAGTGGCTTAGGATTTTCATGCCAAGGCATCGGTGCAGGATGCAGTAGATTTTACACATTTTGCTTTGGGGCTATTTTGCCTTGCAAATGAACTTTGCATTTTGAATTTTGAGCTGCCCACAGTGGTGATCTGCAGGACTTGTAAGTTTCCCAGTGCTTGGAAGAATGAAGAGCCCATATTACTTTATTGGCTTTGAATTAGCCAGGTTAAAAACTTCTTTGGGATTTAAGCCAGCAAGTTCTACGCCTAGCTGAAGCAATGAATAAGAGCTTATGAGAATAAGTAGTTTAAGGTAATTTAAAATATTATATATTCAGTATGCATAATAAAAATATATCCATATAATGATCTTGATGCTATCATAATTTTTCTCTTTAAAAAATAATCCCTTGAAAGTGCTATCAGGAGCTCCCTGTCTATCCTTCTTTTGAAAGGCAAATTTCCTGGCTCTGCAGTACTGCTGTAATTCTCGTGTCATTCCTGGAGTTTTCCCTTTCCAGTGATAATAATAATGCACAGTATATTTTTCTCATTCTTAGCTTCTTGCTCATGAAATGCTGCTAAGTATGAAATACTGAAAAGAGTTACAAGGGACAATTAATTGGAATGAAGGCATTCTCTATCTCTGACTTTGAACAAACAATAGATAAGTTGTCCTTAATTTATTGAGACATATGACTAAGTAGGACCACTTGATCTCCAATATAATAAAGCTGCTGAGTCCTAACAGGAAGTGCAAAACAAGTAACTTAACTTGTATAAAAAATCCCTATTAAGACAGTATAACAAACCATGATGTGAAATAATACAGTCAAATCCAAATTCGAAATATATAAACCACAGCCAAAATTAAAAGATTTTATCGTAACAGTTATGGCTTCCCAAGCCAGAGAAAGCTTACGGTACTTCAAGAATCAACTAAAGTTGATAGACAGCAGGTATTCTGTAAGTTGCATTAACAATCGAATAGCTGCAGATTGCATAAATGTGTTGTGTCACATAATATCAAAGTTATTTGCAAAAATTATACAATCTGGAATGCTTGAATATGAGACACAACAATGTCCTGAAACATACATTTATAAGAAAATGAAAGCAATCATTAATAGAAAAGGTATTTTTTGGATGCAGTAAGTTAGCAGTGCTACCAAGGTTAAATAGGTAAGTTCTTCAGTCAGCTACTTAGAATTTCAGTCAGATATGACTATACCTTGTTCTTTTTTGCAAACTCTCATACCTCTCCTGTGTCTTCTTGTTTGCCTTGCTTAGGATCTTCAAAGTCCCATGGGTAAATGTTGATTAGGGGCGTTCGTTGAGGGCTCTTTCCCCTAAATAGGCTGCCATTCAAAGATTTCCCTAGTGTTACTGGTGGAAAGACTTCTTGGCCAGTCTAACTACTCTACTCCTATGTTGCTCTGCTTCCCTCCTCTTCTTCCCCTGTGATTTTCGCATTTCCCTTGATTGGCAAATACTCCTTGAGAATTTTTTATCCTTGTCCTTCTGTTTTACACAGTACTCAGGGCTTCCTCCTTCTCCTTTCTTCCCGGAGATACCACACTTAAAAAGTATCCCAGACGTCTTATTTCCGAGGCCCTCCTATTGTATTTGCACTTAAAGCAGAAGAGACAGGTAGAGCTACAATTCTTTCAGCATTTGGTTGATCTGGGGGTCTCAAACTCCCAAGGACACACCTCAGCTCGTGTTGTTAAAGGTTGCTGAAAGTTTTTACTTGAGTTATAAGAGCCAGGCACATTTTCTTCAGAGGAAGATGTCTTTTTTTCCTGGCCTCCTATTTGGTTGAGATTTTCATTCACTACTGTTGATGCTACCACTTTGGGGGTCAGTCCCTCATATGGCCCAGCACACACACTGGCTGCGTAATGCTGATTGCCATTCTCAGCTCTCCCTGGGATTGCCTGAGTCTTGGAAATCAAATGCTTCTCATCTTCGAAAAGGGACTGGCCTTGGCTTTCCCAAGGGAATACTGCAGTCTTGTCTATGCTCTTCTGATTGGGCTGCTGACATAGTTCAGCTGTCTTAAGCTTCTGATGAGATTTCTCCTTCAAGGAAGAAGATGGGCTTTTCTCCATTTCAGAAGCCGCAATAGATACATGTTTCTGAACTTTTGATTCTGAAGGCACAGGACCAGGGGTCAGGTCATAAATTTCCCAAGGGCACACTTCCCCTATGTCAAAATTCTTCTTCATCTGAGTGGTGCCTGGGTTCATTTCAGTATCAGCAGTGGGGAGATTGACCCTTTGTTGCTTTATAATCCCAGATTTCTGAGGTTTTCTTGGCTCCTCTGAATGATTGACGTTTGGAGAGGCAGAATCTTTGGTCTCTGTGCTCTCTGAATTTGAGTATTTCTTGTTTATCTCTTTCTCTCTTGGCAGAGGTTTCTGGGATTTGGCACGCTCCTCCGTGCCTGATGTTTGGGTTTTCCCAGCTAATCCAAGAGTCTTCTCCTTGGCACTGGCTATGACGCTGAGAGACTTCTGCAACATGGATGTGCGTGGGTGCCCCGGCTGCTTCTCCGAGCTGAGGTTGTGAGCACTGGCTGATTTACACACCAAAGGCACAGACTCCGTGGACTCGGCCTCGCTTTCTTTCAGTTTCTGTGTGAGTTTTTTACCCGATAGAGACTCCAATGTGGAGTTTTCAGTAGCCGCCTCTTCTCCGCTTCCCACTTGGACGCTACTGGGCTCTTCCGCTTGTTCCCTCACCTGATCGTAAGTGCTGTGGGATTTCTTTAGTGAGAAGACTCGGTTTTTCAGGGACTCCTCCTTGGGCTTCCCAGTGTTACCGGAATACTCCTGTGGATTCTTCCTGACCAGGGCGGTGCTTTTGGTTGTGCTGTGGTCCGTGACCTCCTTGTCCTCTTTGGAACACTGCCTGCTGACCGTCTCTGGGATCTCGGTGATGCGCCTCATGATTGAACGGCCTAAGCCCTTCTTGGAGCACCGCTTTTTCTGGAGGTGGGGGTTATTTGTGATCATCTTCTTCCTTTTATATATTTCCAGCTGGGTGTAGAGTTTCTTCAGCTCATCCTGCCAGAACAAGAGCAAATTTACAAAGGGGCAGAACTTAGTGTTTCAGCCAGATAATATCCTTACATGTAATTTGAAGGCAATGAACTGGAGTCCTTGAGGGAGGTCGCTGGGCAGCCTTTCCTATCACCTGCACTCTTCACATCTCCCCACATTTTTACTTTCTAATTACTCTGTGTTTTGTTTCACACAGACTTTGGACTTTAAGACACAAACGCAGGCCTTCTACCCTTGCTTTATGGAGCAAGCACTTTAGACTTGTGGGTTGTGCAGAGCAGACTGAACCTGGACCATAACAAAACACAGAATGTTGTCTACTGAAGAACCATGTCTCTGAACAATACTGGAAGCATCATGCAGCCACTGATAAAATTGCATCTAATATCAGACTTGATTTAAGGGACAATAGACCATTGATTATTAAAAGCATCTTTGTACTCCAAATGCTGATATAATGTCACAGATTATTTTAACTAATTCAGCCTCTGCTCATAGATCTATCCTACCTTTCCAGCAGCAAAATGTCATAGACTTATTGTAGAAGTATAACCAGTTCCTCATTATCCTTGCTAATAAGTCAATTGAGACTATCAGGGTTGGCTTTGCATTCTGATTAATACCATGATTATACATTTTAGCAGGGGGTTAACTCTGTGATGTCTTCAGTTCTTACAAAACACATTCTTTCTCTTTCTCAAACTCACATTATGCACATACATAAATGGGCTTAATCTGAAAAAGGAGAGACAAAATACAGGCATTACCCGGATGTCCTCTGGATCTAGGCTGTGCTCGCTCCAGGCTGAATTGATGCTGCTGTTCAGGTAGGATCCAGATCGGCCCATGTCTAGCTCATCTTCATATGCTTCTGCAGCAATGTCATCTCGTGGGTTATTGCTTGAATGTGAAAACTGCAAAAGATATTCAATATGAGCTGGAGACATTAATCCACTATAAGACATTATAAAGGCTCTAATGCTAATATCATTTCTTCAGCTTAGATGAATTCAATCACTGGACTCTTCATTAAAGATCTGCTGCTATATTTGTGTTTTGCTTCCCATGTTGCACATTAAAGGTCATAGTGAGGCAATATCAACACTTGGTTCCCTCTTTGACTCCTGATCCTTGGATTTTCTCCAGACCTCCAGTGTTAACTTACATTACTCCAAATGATATTTGCATTGTGGAAAGGAATATAAGTAGAAAAATCCAAAGAAATGTTCTTTAAGAGTAGCGAGTTAGACCCATCGGCAGCTGGATGGGACTGTTTTTTGAGCAGTGGGGTCTGTCTTGTGTGGTCATTTCGCTGCACAATGGGGAGGCTGCATTTCATCTGTGGACACAATTAGCTCTGATCACAGGAATGTGACTTTCAGTCTACTACACAGAGCTTCCAAAAAGTGACTTTCAAGACTCAGGGTACAGGAGGTCTGAATTCTAGCCTCATTTGAAGGTGGGTTGACAGCTCTTACCAGGGAAGCTCTCTGTAGCACAGTACCCTCTTAGCCCAAAGAGATTGGGTTAAATGGTATCTAAGTTTAAATTCAAAGATTCATGGAAATTACAGAATTTTTGCTCATGCTCATTATTTTCAAGTTTCTCCTTCATCACATTTTGACATATTTTCATTATTTTTCATGTGGTCTGTGGTGCTTTTCAGTTCTGTGTACTCTTGCAATCTCTATTCTCCTTCAAATGGAGAAGTGAGGGAGGAGTGGATTGGGTGAGTGATAGGGACTAGGCAGGATCAACACTACCCAGCCCCATTTTACATAATATATGTAACATGTGACTGTCCTTTGAAAACTGAGAGAAGAGTTTAGAGAAACCAGGTCTCTTCTCTGAGCTTGTCATCAGGTCAAACATTGCTTAAAAAAATTAATGGATCACTCTCTGATGATATGGACATATTTAATGTTAACATTTGTTAAAATACTCAGGTAGGCGGGTGACATAAATATAACATATGTGAAACAGCAATTCTCTGTTTACATGGCAGTGGATGTTTTATAATTGGGACTGGCTGAGAAACCACAGATCCCTCCTTCGCTCTTCTGCTTATATTCGTGGTTCCCACATGTGTCATGAACCGAAGGCTGTAAAGATGAATAAAACAGAGCCCCTGTCCTCCACAATCTCACAAGCTGCTAGTTCAGCTACCTGGGGGTTGGTGGGGGTTGTTTATAAGAATGGACTTATTTTTCTTGAGCAAAGTTTTAGTGATGATGATGAGTTTAAGAAACATTTATTTACATATTGTCCACTTCCTGCTCTACTATTTTTCCTCAGTGCTCATCTCTATGTAAAATACTATTTTAAATGTTTATCTTATTTATCTTTTCTGTTTTCCCCTCCTCCTCTCCAGAATATAAATACCATGAAAGCACAGATTTTTATCTGTTCATTATTATTTTAGTGTAAGAGTATATAGCAGAGTATATAGTTCTGTAAGTATGTATAGAACAGTGCTTAGCCCCTCAATAATTTTTTAAATTATCTGTTATTGAGATATAATTGACATATCATAAAATTCTGAATTTTAAATTATACAATTCAGTGCTCTTTGGAATATTAACTAGTTTGTGCACCCACTGCCACTACCTAATTCCAGAATATTTTCATCACCCTAAAAAGAAACCTTGACCCCATTAAGCAGTCACTTCTATCTTCCCTTTTCCCCAGCTAGTGGCAACCACTAAACTACTTCCTGTCTCTAGAGAGTTGTCTCTTCTGGACATTTCACATAAATGTAATCATACAGTAAGGGGCCTTTTGTGTCTGGCTTCTTTACTTAGCAGAGCATTTTCAAGGTCTGTACATGTTGTGGTATGTACAGTGAGTGCTTCATTCTTTTTTATTCATGACCAGTATTCCACTGTATGGATGTACCACCTTTTGTTTATGCATTTATTGGCTGACGGACATTTTGGCTGTTTCCACTTTTTGGCTATTATTAAACAGTGCTATGAACATTCATCTACAAATTTCTGTATGAACACGTTTTTGACTCTCTTTGGAACAATAAAAATTTATTGAATGAGTAAATAGTCTGAGGATACATCCATTTAAAAAGAGGGTAATCATATTATGCAAAATATAAAAATGGGTAAGACAAATTGTAGTAACAGACCATGCCACGAAAACTGTGCCTATTTGGTGTAATTCAAGTAAGGCATTTTGCTCAGTTTGTAATTGTTTGGTCTTTTCAATCAGGCTGAATTTTTATTTTTTGGTTAATTGCGAGAGGACATAAGCCTGGAATGAAAGACAAGAAATCACATTCTTGTTTCAGCCATGCCAGTGTCATATTGTGTGACACTGATAGAGATATATGATGTTCTAATATTTTGTTTTTCTATGTGTAAAAGAGACAAATGATGATAATGTTTTAGTGAAAAACTCGTATAATGTTTTTTCCCCAAAACTCTGATTTCATTTTATTTTGTTCCAAGTGGCCTATTGCTATCATGTCAGAGAGGAGGAAAGTGAAACTCAGAAAGAAGGAAAGTCTTATTTTAAAATGGCTAGTTTGGGTAGAGTACGTATTCAGAACTCCCATATTCTGAGTCCTGGTCCATTTTCCCTCACTTTCTCATGTTGCCCAAATGAGTCTTTGTCAGAATTCATCATTATTAAGCAAGATTGTTCTATATACAATCTTACAATTATGTATTTGTATTTACTTAAAAATTCTCTGACTGTTTAAAACATAATACTTCCCTGAATATGAATCCAAACAAGAAACCGGAGGATTCTTAGAACAGGGTAACCTCTTTAAAAATGATCTTGAGGTTACAGCCACAATGAAAGTCACCTTGAAACCATAATAAATGGATATTAATGTATTTGGAAAAGGACTGAAACAGAGGAGGGGTTTTGTGCAAATTAAGGCACTTTGTGAGATGTTTAATAAATTATGTGAGATGTTTAATAAATCCTGAAAGAAAAGAGACACCTACTTTCCTAAGGAGGGGGCTTTAAAAACATTTTAGAGTGTCAAGCAAATCTTTACACCTCCCTTTGCTTATATTACCAGATATTTTTAAAAGGAGAAACAAGTTCATGAGCACTTAAAATAACTGTTGTGCAGGAGGAAGGCAATGTTAGCGGAATACCTTTGGAATTAAAAGCAACCCAATGGTGACTGTCACAGTCAAATGAGTATGTGCAAAATATAGCATCAACATCCAATCAGACTGAAGTCTTGAAGCAAGAACAAATCTGAAATGAGAATTCACCAGATTAGCAATCCAACAAGATCTCTGCTTAAAACACTAGGATACTGGAAACTCTTTCCTTCAATGTATTAAAAAAAAGCAAGCAAGTAAGAAATTACATTGTTGTTTCTATAGCACCTGTTTTCATCACAGCAGATTAAGGGTCTAAGTAATCCTAATCAGATGCATAAGACACGAACTCTTTACTATTTACTATTTTAAATTATCAACAGTGAGAAAGACAGCATATCCACCCAAAATGTGCTAAACATTTCCTTGGATTTTTATTTTGTATGTTAGTTGAATGTGGAAAGCAAAAGCGATATACACATGTGAATTTACCAGAAGAGTAGGGTTACAAATTGATGGCTTATGGCAAATTTCTGTCATAAAATACATCCAAGTAACCCTTGATTCTAGTAGTCTTTACTTACAAATATTAATTAGAATTAAGAAAAAAAAGAGTGTGTAATTACCTGTCCTTGTGAATGTTCCCAGAAGTTTAAATGATAAACAATGTCATGGATAAAATGAATTTACTAATGATTTGTGAAATCCATTTTTTAAAATAAAAATTTTACTTGTCATAAAGTTAAAATAATTTAAAATGTTAATTTAAAAAATCTTATCTTACTGAAGAATTTATAAAGTTTTGTTTCATGGCCCTGCAGGAAATATATAGGGAAAATTCAGTTTTAATATTTACTTTGGTCATTTTGGAATTTTTTCACAAATCAATAGGCACATGCACAAACTAAAATTCATGTTTTAAGGACTTTCCCATATGCAGAAATTTTTATTAAGGTCATTTTGCAATCATAGCCTTCTTTTAAATTTTTTTCCACCCATTGTTTACCCATGAAAGCTAAATATGAGATCTTACTGCTTTTGGAGTTAGAGAATTAGTGTTTTGTTTCAATGGTATGCATCATCAAATATGAAAAGCTAACATCCTAAGAAAATGCTCATGAAATAATCATAAAACAATGTATATGAATTTAAATAATAGAAGAAATTCGTTTTACTCTGCATTATATCATATTCATAAGCTTACTAAGTAAATTAATATTATTAATATTTAATATAACATTCCCTCAAGGGGATTTGTTCTTCATTTCACCTCCATCCCTCCACCCTCCCAAAAATCAAGTTAAAAATGGAAGTTCAACAGTTATCCAAAATGGAGAGTTTACCCTGTGTCTGGAGACAAAAGAAAGTAGACGTATAACACACTGAAGTACAGAATGCTCAGGATAGTTCACATATTCCTAAAAAGGATTTTCTGGATTAATATCTTCTCTACCTTCTTTGTGAGGCAAGTACAAAGAACCTGGCTTGAATATGACTATTCACTTCATTCAGGGCTCTTTCACCTTTGACTAGTCTGTGTTGGTTCAGGTGAGATTGGTTTTAAGCTCTGAAATAGGATCACTGTACTCAGTAACAAGTTACAGCCTCTGAGGCATAGGAGCAATACAAAATGTGTCCTGGAAAATAATACAATCCCAACCTGCTGGGGCCACTGCCAGTGCTGGATCGGACACTTATATCAAAGGTGATGGATGTACAGTCTAAAAGGATCCTCATGTACTGGGAATTCCTACCTCAAATGCCAACACGAGTGAGCTTTAAACTAGCCTGACGATATCTAGAAGGAAGAATGGTTACACATTACTTTAAGTTAAAATGGTGAATCATCCCCCAAAATTATTTGAAATACTGACGTCAATTGTCCTTAAATGAATCAGCTTTTAATTACTGCCTGGTTTTTTAGGTTGCAGTTCTGACTAGGAGTATCTTAACAGAAACTGGGTTTTGCAATCCTTTTTAAAGCTTCATTTTTTTTAAAAAGAGTATTTCAACTTAAAAAAAAACAGGTCTACAAGTCAGGAGCATAGAAATATTTGGAAATTAAGGTTTAGAATAAAAGCAAACTTCAAAAAGTTCACACTTTCCAAAGGTTTGCTTTTTGCTTAGTACTAAAAGTAAGTAAAGGATTAGAACAGACTGGGCAGAATGCGTCCTTCATTATTTTCCCTTCTAGACTTAATCTTTTCAGTTTATTGTTGTTTAATCTATTTGGTAAGAATGAAAGTAAAATGTAAATAATCTGTAGTCATAGTTTTCAATTTATATATGTGTATATGTATATGCAAACATAATGTATATATTTTATTTTAAGCAGACAAGAAAGAAAATATATTCCCTGTTGATAGAGAATATCTTTGCTGATATTTAATACTTCTGCATTATTTAATATTATTTAATTCCAGGGAAAAATTACCAAGATGGGTACAGCTGATTACTGCTTTTTATTCTTGGATTTTACCAACATTGGAACCACAGCACATATGAATTCAGTTCACATGTACATAAGGAATTGTGTATACTTACTTCTCTAATTATTACTGCCTATTACCCTGTTCATACCCCCCAGAATCAGTGTTCTATAGATTTACTGTGTTAAACTATAGTTTCTTGGTCCTCTATGGCCATACAAATTAAATTTCCAAGAGGGGTTAGTATACACTGTGATTCTTTGAAGCCAATATGTCACAATCTGAGTCTGCTCTGTGTAGAAAGGTAAGTCAAAGTTGGAGCTTAAAATGTAGGGTTTCCCATTGAGGCTTGCTCAGGCCTGCCTAAGAAAATACTAAAGCTGACCAAGGCTGGTCACTCTGCTGTCACTGGAAATCCTCCCTGTTCAAAACTGATAGGAGACCCCACAACTGTTTGGAAGATAATTGATCTTGTGAGTATGCTGTGTCTACTCCACACCAAATCTGTTAGGTTCAACAGGAACAGTTCAATAAGAGCTTATGTCTACGTGAACCTGGCTAGTAGTCTGTGTGATTCTTTTGGCTGGGCTGATGCGCTGCTTGGGACTCTGCAGGAAAGACCCTACAAAGTAAAACTGCTATTATCAATGAATATTTAACATAACATATTTTATATCACCTTGGGCCAATATTAAGACAGTATTTTCTGAAGTGTGGCTACTATTATCAGATGTCAATTGAGCTGGGAGAATTTCATGGTCAGTTAAGTTTGGAGAATGAGATTAAATGAAGTTAAATAGGTTTCCTTACGGCAGGACTTGTCGGTGTGCTAGTTTGCACTGTGACATGCCTGAAAGTGGGCTATCAGATGCAATGTGTCATAAATAAACACATGTAAAAACATCCAGAAGTGATACACTATTATATTACCAGTGTTTATTCTTGGGGTGGTTGGATTAGGGATTTTACCTTTTCTTTATTATTTTAAGGTTTTTCTATAACAACCATCTATTGCCTTATTATTAAGAAAATTTTTAAAGTTCATTTAAAAATACTTTACCATGCCTACTTCTGAAAGGACTTGGGCCACTTGAGACTTCCAAATCCATTGAAAAAAAACATTTAATGATGAAAATTGAACAGAGTAAATCTCAAAGTAGAAATTGATTTAGGCAACTGCTTTGAACACATTTAATTTCTTGGATAATTAGGTTCTAAGAGATATAGCAGCTAATTGTAGGGCAAAAGTGGAAAACACTTTGCAGGACAGAGTCACATCCCAACACTAGAAGACATTGAAACTCATCTGTAATAAGCCTTCATGCTCATAACCCTATTTGGTTGGTTTGTTCATATAATATTAACTTAGAAATGTTTCTGGAGAAGCATGTTTGTTAGATCTAGAAACACGTGTTTTATTTTTTTGGAACAAACAACGAAAGTGCAATGGTTTGGGAGAACGTGATGGCCGTGGAGCTCTGGAGCCCACCACAATTTAGGTGAGGGCATTCTTTCCTTTGCTTATTTGTAATTTCATATTTCACTTCTCATCTTTCCTCCCTCTTCTCCTCTCATTTTCTCATTTCTCTCTTTTGAGAGGGGACAAGACAAAGCCAGGAGGCAAATTCCCTTGAATCCTGGCCCTTTGGTGGAGTGTCTAGGGTTGTCAGGTCATAAATCTTTTTCTTAATGAAAAGTTTAAAAAGTGTAGGTTATGCCTAAGGCCCAACTGCTCTCTGGCATCCTCTGTTCCTAGAAGTGCAAGGTAACATTTTATGATTATCAGCTAAAGTGAGAGATGATAAATATCCTCCCAGACTTCCACAAATCCACACCTTCATAGCCTGATTCCTACTATTAGCAAGCTCCTCATTTCATTGAGGGCAAAGGCAAATATCCAAAATTTGTGATCACATTCTTAATTGTCCTGGCTTTTAATATGTGTTGAGTAATTGAATGACATCTTTTGTTGCCTTTCAAATTATAGGATTCCTTTTTGTTGTTGTTCTCACTGAGGTTTTTGTTTCATTTTCAAATACAAGTCAGGTAAAAATTCTCAGAAGTTACATCACACATATTTCATTTTGTTCACTTATCATAAGCTACTTTCTTCCTTCTTCGTCTTCACTGACTATAGAGCTGTCTTGGAGATAAAAAAACAGAGGGCCAGGCCATGCGTTCTTCCCACAGAAGGTCACTGCTAAAATGCAAAACCGCCCTGCCCACAAATATCCACTCATCAGCTGGGAGTGCTTGTTTGGCTTTGAATTTAGCAGAATTCACACACATAAGTTGTTCAAGTATTAAGATTTTGAAATTCTGAGCCAGCATAATAAACATATGAAAACACATAATTTCTCTATATGTATTACTTTATGTGGTATAGAAGATTGCATACATCTTCAGAACAGAAAGTATTATGTGTCATAAACAATATCCAATGACACCTCCATCAGTGGTTTAATGTAACATGGTAATATTGAGTTAGCCTTCAAAATAAATTAAGGCAATAAATAAAACATCAGAAGGAACTAAGCATAGCAGAATTTAAAAAAAAGCACTGTGTTCACTTGTCATTTCTGTGACAAAGAAATTAGTTGACTTATAAAACACCATCCTTCCTAAATCTTCCCATTGTGCATCTTACCCAGTTTTTCTATTTAAGTTAAACTGTAATACACCAGAAAAATGAGACAGTTAAATACTCATGCTACAGATCACTTGCCTGATTGTATGGAATACAGCAGAGATAATGAGCTCATTGTGAACTGCAACCGCCATATAGCGTGGCTCGTGAAATGCTGATGGGACTGTCCGTACTGCATAGCAGAGATAAACACCCCACAAAAGGAATAAAAATTCAGCTGGGAGAAGAACACAATAAAACAATTTTACATTAGTTTTATAGGTGAAGAGAAAAGTAAAAATTAAGCTCTGTAATATTCATTTTATACCTATTATAGAAACATACATTCTTTAGTTAGAAATAGATAAATACAAAATGTCATTCACATATGAATACACATGCCATATACTTATTTAAAAATTTTATTAGCATATAAAAGATTTTTCAAAGGTATACTTTGTATTTTTTGGTTTACAATTTCTTTAAAACAGTGTTTGCTGTCTCAGATATTTTTTTTCCTTGCATACCTGGCCTTTTCCTAAAACAACTGTAAAATAATTTTGCGCACACTCAGCCTAAGTTTAAGATGTTCATAGAGCATGTGGGTCACAATAAAGTAATCAAGGCAACAAAAGGCTTATATGAAGCTCCTAGAAGTCTAAGCTTTGGTTGCATGGAGTCTTTTTCAATATGTAAGGATAACCATTGGCAGAAATGTGAGAAAATAGGTTGCTAAACATTCAGTAGCCTTTTGTATAAATGAACCATAATTTCTTTTTTTTCTTTATTTTGGTATCATTAATCTACAATTACATGAGGAACATTATGTTTACTAGACTCCCCCTATCACCAAGTCGCCCACCCCCACAATCCCCATTACAGTCACTGTCCATGAGTATTGTAAGATGCTGTAGAATCACTACTTGTCTTCTCTGTGCTGCACAGCTCTCCCTATGCCCCAGCCCCCACACTATACATGCTAATCATAATGCTCCTTCTCTTTCCTACCCCACCTTATCCCTCCCTTTCCATCCATCCTCCCCAGTCCCTTTCCCTTTGGTAACTGTTAGTCCATTCTTGGGTTCTGTGATTCTGCTGCTGTTTTGTTCTTTCAGTTTTTTCTTTGTTCTTATACTCCACATATGAGTGAAATCATTTGGTACTTGTCTTTCTCCACCTGGCTTATTTCACTGAGCATAATACCCTCTAGCTCCATCCATGTTGTTGCAAATGGTAGGATTTGTTTTCTTCTTATGGCTGAATAATATTCCATTGTGTATATGTACCACATCTTCTTTATCCATTCATCTACTGATGGACACTTA